TAGTCGTTGGTGATGGTGATTTGGTTTTAATCCTTTCGTTAGACTCATAAAGGTCAGTCTTTTCGTATTTATCACGTTTATCGTTGATTTTAGACGTTGATGATGGTGATTTGGTTTTAATCTTCTCGCTAGAATCGTAAAGGGTTGTCTTTTCGTCTCTATCACGTTTATCGTTAATTTTAGACGTTGGTGGTGGTGATTTGGTTTTAATCATCTCGCTAGAATCATAAAGGTTTGTCTTTTCATATTTATAACGTTTATCGTTAATTTTAGACGCTGATGATGGTGATTTGGTTTTAATCATCTCGTTAGACTCGTAAAGGTCAGTTTTTTCGTCTCTATCATGTTTATCGTTAATTTTAGGCGTTGATGATGGTGATTTGGTTTTAATCATCTTGTTAGAATCATAAAGGGTTGTCTTTTCATATTTGTCACGTTTATCGTTAATTTTAGACGTTGATGATGGTGATTTGGTTTTAGTCATCTCGTTAGACTCGTAAAGGTCGGTTTTTTCGTCTTTATCACGTTTATCGTTAATTTTAGACGTTGGTGGTGGTGATTTGGTTTTAATCCTTTCGTTAGACTCATAAAGGTCAGTCTTTTCGTCTTTATCACGTTTATCGTTAGTGCTAGATGTTGATGATGTTGATTTGGTTTTAATCCTTTCGTTAGACTCATAAAGGTTAGTCTTTTCGTCTCTATCACGTTTATCATTAATTTTAGACGTTGATGATGGTGTAGATGCGGGGAATGTAGGTGTTATTTTTGTGTAAAATAGGACGTAGGGCTTACACTCGAGTACAGAATTGATTGGAACCTAATTTTTTAAGATTAATTAATTAATATGATTTATCATTTGCCATTGAAAAACTTGTATATATATATATATATATATATATATAATACTTACTCGTTGAACATATCTATCATTATATAAATACCATTCATTGTTTCTATTTTTGATATATGAATAATAATGTCCTTTACGAAGGGTACCACCTTCATGAACCAAGACAGCGCTAAGATTATAACGAACATTTTTACCCTTTAACAATAAATTGTATGATTTGTATTTAATTAGCATTATGTTATTAATGCATAAACATATTATCATTTTCATTATTTAATTATTTAATTATTTACCCCCAAAATATATTTCGAAATGTCTAGTACCTCTCCAAATTCCACACGTTTTGAAATCTTGTATCCTTGCTTCGTGGAGCTGGAGAAACCGAATCTTTTCAATTGTACTATAAGAGTATTTGGCTCTTCTTTTATCGTAAATTCTTGGTTGCAAGTAAACTTATTGCACCTAATAAATAAGATTATGATTTATTTAGAAAATCAGATATTTCCAAGATCAATTATAATAACAATGATAATAATACTTACGAGCACTTGAAACCAGGTAATTCGGCGGATTCACAATACTCATCAAAGCACTCTTCTATTGAATTTTTCGTTGCTGCAGAGATCGTAACAACGCTTTCTGTCGACAAAGTCTCTCTCTTACAATTTTGACAAGTTATCTAATAAATTTTTTTTCTTTCGTTAGTATATCAATTTATAAATAAACAAAATTAATGAATCAATTTTTTATTGTATAATGATAACAACAATAACCTTCTTTTGTAGAGTTGTCCAGAAATCATAATACATATGTTGTGCGATCATGTTCTCATTGACACATTCGCCCACCTTTTGAAGAATGCCACACAAATATAAGAAAGCATCATTTTGCTCGTTTACCTCGGCGAATGGTTCGATATCTAATAATAATATAAATTGTAAATTAATTTATAATATACGTATTCAAATAATACAAATAAACATTAATTAAATTACATACCTGTAAGATAGGTGATGAATGGGCCAGCATAAACTGGTTGCCGTGATTCCATAAGTTTAATACGCAACCGTTTTAATTCATTGAAAATACATACAGGACTACAATAACCTACATAGTGGTAATAGCGATGTAAAGGTAATACCGATGTAGTGGTAATAGCGATGTAGTGGTAATAGCAATGTAATGGTAATAGCGATGTAGTTGTAATAGAGATGTAGTGGTAATAGCGATGTAGTGGTAGTAGCGATGTAGTGGTAGCAGCGATGTAGTGGTAGTAGCGATGTAGTGGTGATAGCGATGTAGTGGTAATAGCGATGTAGTGGTGATAGCGATGTAGTGGTAATAGCGATGTAGTGGTAATAGCGATGTAGTGGTAATAGCGATGTAGTGGTAATAGCGATGTAGTGGTAATAGTGATATAGTGGTAATAGCGATATAGTGATAATAGCGGTATAGTGATAATAGCGATAATAGTGATAATAGTGATAATAATGATTAATAGATAGCGATAGTAATGATAATAGCAATAAAGTGATAGTGATAATAGTGATAAAAGAGTATTTAATAAATTAAATAATATATATAGCATGATCAAAGTATTTGATTAATGCAAAGAGTATTTACATTGATGGTTGCCGGTAGATTCTAAATGCCTTTCTGCATTGGGAAGATGTACGAGGACTTGAAGGATCGAATTAATGAAGCATACAACGTTATTATCGTTTCTTAATCCGGCTCCGTTATTAAAACCAGCTTCATTATTATTATTATTAAAACCAGCTCCGTTATTAAAACCAGCTCGATTATTAAATCCAACTTTATTATTATTGTTTATGAAATTGTGGTTATTGTTTCTGAAATTACGGTTATTGTTTTTGAATTTTACAGGATATTTTCTCGCCATTACCGTGTGCAATCTAGATAGATAAATAAGGTGATTAGTATTAAATGAGTTTTTTTAGAAAAAACATAATAAAGAATAAAATTGTTTACTTTTGCATTATGTTCACAAGCTTCCCAAATGTTTTGACTAGAAATCATATAATTCCCTGCAAGATATGAAAATGCTCTATAATCAAACGCTTTAAAATGTGCCATTCCAGTTTTTTGTTGTAATTTGTAATAACCCTAATATTATTTATCACAACATTATTAAAAATTATATGTAAAATAGATCTGGCCAATTAATTATAAATACCTCATTTGATGAATCTATTGCTCCAGGAGATATACGTCTTTGCATTTTTTTAATTTGATTATTCAAAGGCTGCCTAATATTTCTGCTCCAATATGAATATGATTATTATATTGTTTTTTTAAAAAAAAAAAAATATTCAAAGGTGAAAAAATCAATAGAATAAATTCTTACTGATCATCAATTATATCATTATTATTGTTGGATTTATCTACAGTAAATGCTAGTTGATCATAGACACTCCAGCCAATTCCGCATTTACTTAATAAATCTAAAGGTCGACGTGATCCTTTGATATATTGCTGTATAAAATATTTATCCTTTGAGCAAGACCACAGCACATCAGGATCATGCCATAAAATTCCTATTAAATGCAATATTATCTATGATTACGAAAATATATGATAAATAATTTACAAGATTATAAATTAATACCCGTTGGAACTTCTTCATGTGTCTCAAAGAAACAACTTGCGATGTAAGGTCTTTTAACATTCCAAACAAATACTCTTACATCAGTCAATGACGAACATGATGCAATCTCATTTGGATAGTTTGGTCTCCATCTAATATAAGATATACCTGACATGGTATAGATTGTATCTTTTGGCTTTCTACTTTCTGAATTCATATCCCATATCTAATTAAAATATTAAAACTTAGAATTATCATTATTATATTATCACTATTACAAAAAAATAATTAAGGTATACTCTGATGATTTTATCACGCCCTCCGCTAGCAATGATTCTACCATCAAAACTCCAATCAATAGACAATACTGATCCAATATGTGCATTGTATTTTCTTAGGTGAACTACTGGTTTCCTAATATCCCATTTCTTTAATTAAATAAATAACTTTATCAGAATATATTTATACTAATGCATATAAATAACATTGGTTTAACTCACCTGAATTGTTCCATTATCAAATGCAGCAGCAAATTCATATTGGTTCATTGAATTGAATTGCACATCACGAACACCTTCGCATCTTCCTTGAAATGTATTCATTGCCCGTTCTAAATCTCTAAGATCCTAAAATAAATAAAAATTTATTTTAAAATTAACTAAAAAATTTAACATATTTAACAATATAATAAATAGATCAGAAACACCTACCCACAATTTCATAGTACAATCTTGTGAGGCACTTAACAATGACGAACCTTGCAATGGACTAAAACATATTCTATTAACAGCACGTTTATGATCATCGATTTTTTGATCTGTAAATAATTATTAGAATATTATTATTTAAAGCGGATAGATTTTTTGTCAATGTACACACTAATAAAAGAATCCTCTCACCAATCTTTGATCTACCATTTTCTATATCCCAAATAACAATTGAACCATTTGAAGCAGCAGTAGCTATTTTGCTTTTTGTAACTAAAATACATAAATTTCATGTAGATCAATAAGTAACTATTCAAAAAATAATAAACACACATACACACTCACTCTCTCCCGCATACTTTTTCCTTATAAAGATAAATGTTATTTATAATACTAACGATTGTTTCCCCATTTAACATCATTACTGTTAAATTT